GCACGAATAATATATAATTGAGAATGATCAATATGGAAATAATTTATTATTATAGGGAATTTATTGTCCAAAGTAGTGAGAATTGTGTAATTCTTAAGAATTTGGAGGTAATGACATTCCCATAATTTTAACAAAAAAACTACTACTATTGATAATAAGTTATTATCTGATAATGATTTTTTCTGTAAATCAAACGTGTGAATACAATTTAGGAAAATACTATTTACTTTAGTAATGGTCTTTTTTGCAAACCAAACGCCCCATAATATTGCTTAATATATACCTTTTATATCTTTAAGAGCATTAGCATTTAGCTTCATTAGAATACTTACATAGAAATAAGGCTTAATACAGTTTCAAGTGCTTAAATTATACCTCAAATTAACTTTCGGTGTCTAAAAAAATTTCACTAAAAATAGGTGCTTAAAGTTTTTTCCGTTACACTTTTAGATGTCTTGGTTGAAATGGTCGTTAAATTCAGTCATTAACTAACACGTGTTACCATCATATTTTTTGAGATTTTTTTTATCTTAAAAAATAAAAATATATATTATTTTAAAAATTCAAATGTTTCAAAAATATCAAAACGACCCCTATATTTTGAAACTCAAATCATTCAACTCTTTTATCGATCATTGTTGTTGTCGTCGACCGTATACTCACCAATCATCAGGCTCCATTGTTGTCAAGTCTCTTTTCATCACCCCTATATCAGTCGCTAATTGAAAATCAATCGCAAATGACCAAAAATTATGCACAAATTGCTAACAATTGCGCGCAAATTGATTGAAGACGGTGGGTGGGCTTCATCGAACTTTGGGTTAGGGATGGTCAATAGTGGATTTCACCGTCGGTGGGTGGGGTTTGTCGGAATTTGGATTAGAGATTTAGAAGTATTTTGGGGTTTTATAATTTGGAGATATTTTGTGAAAATAAGAAAAATATATGGGCTTTTTTGAAAATAATAATAATAATTTATTTTTTAAAAATAAAAAAATTCAAAAAATATAAGGGTGGCACATTTCCGTTAACGAGAAAACTTAACAATCGTTATACCTCATACATATAAAAATGTAACAAAAAAACATTAAACATTTATTTTTAATAAAAAATTAATATTAAAAATTAATTTTAAGTTATTTAAACACTTAAAAATATAAAAATCCCATTGTCTGAGACAAAACAACCAATATCTAAAGTCAACAACTTATTAAAAAAGATGAGCAAAGAGAGCGAGCAAGAACAAGAAGAACTGAAAGCCACAAAGAAAGTGAAGAATCGAGATAGTTTAACGAAAGATGATGAATCTAGTCAGCCATCAGATATCATGCAAATAGAAGATGAATCCCAAGATGATGATGAGGCGACTAAATAACGTCCAAAGAGTTTCGAAAAGATCTCATATGCTGCCATGGCTGCAAGTGGTTTGGTGATGAATAGAACCCCCTGTTAAGATGCCTGAAAAAGAGATAGTCATCCTAGAAGGAGATGTTACCATGGATATTTCTGGTGACTATCCTAAAATTGCTTTCTATAACAGTATACATTATTTGATTTATCAAAACTTGAAACAAGTTATTATCATAAGACTGCAGGGGAAGAAGATAGGTTACAAAGCGTTGATGAACAAGATATATGCTTTATGGAAACCTATAGGAAACTTCAATTTGATTGATCTTGATAATGACTATTTTCTTGTGAAATTTGAGAATCTTGAAGATTACTCAAGAGTTCTTATAGATGGACCATGGATGATTTATGAAAGTTACCTGACAGTTCAACCATGGTCAAGAAACTTCACTACCTCTGAAAAGCACTTATCTCAGGTTATTGCTTGGATATGCCTACATGTACCCTACAGGTATTATAATACTGTTCTTATTAGAATGATTGCAAACATGATTGGAATAGTCATCAAAATAGACTACAATAACAAAGTTGGAGAAAGAGGAAAATTTGCGAGAATTGCAGTTGTTATTGACCTGAACAAACCTCTGATTCCATGGGTGGAAATAAATGAATTTATCCAAAATATTGAATATGAAGGCCTGCAATAAATTTGCTTCAAATGTGGTACCTACGGGCATGCTAGAGAAACCTTCCAAATAAACCAGGAAGAAAAGCAAATGGAGATCACTAACCCTGCCAATACTATAGAAAAACAATCAAGTGCAGATAACAGTAAAGATAGCCCTTTTAACCCTTGGATGATGCTTCAATCAAGAGGAAGAAGCAATAGAACTCAAAGTCAAAACAGAGAAGCAGAAGAAATGACTAATCAAGGTTCCAGATTTGCCTCTCTCGATGGAAGTCATTTGGAGGAAGGTCCCAGCGATAAGAATAGAGAAGACCAACATATAAATAGGATTACTACTCCAAAACCAGCTACAAAACAGAATGCTCCAGGTACTCAGACAAAAAACAGGATGAGGGATAAAGATAAAATGAGAAACTAAGGCATTTTAATTCAGGCAGAAGGAAAAATTGATCAATCCCAAATGAGAGTTAACCCCACCAACCCTAAAATTAAGAATACCAATTCTATTAATGGTCCCACTTATGATGGAGGTACGATGGAAGATAAAGATCAACCTAAGGACATGAACATAGGAGGAATTCAGATCATGGCTAAGGATAATGCCCAAATCAGAAAACACAAAGTTCAGGGGGGAAATGGCTCACACACAGCTATAACCATTCAAGAGGATAACAACAATCAAAATCCTACATCTAGATGGAATTTTAACAAGAAGCCAAATCCTATCTCTATCATTGCAAAGAAAGGTCTTAAAGTCAGAAAGCCCAAAACTCCTAACAACACTAATGTTCTTTTTCTTTCAGAATGGATCAAAGAGAATACTACGAACTCGGAGAATTTGGCCCCGTCTTAGAACAACACATCTACAACCAATCAAATTCGAATGTTAGATCATGATGATCAGAGCCAGCTACAAGATTCTGTTCAGAAGGAAAATGATTCGTCTCATAGTAACCAATTCTAGCTCTATTTCTATGAACTTCTTATTTTGGAACACAGAAGGGGTTGTGAAACCTTATTTTAAAAGATATTTTAAGGATTATGTTATTATGCACAAGCCTAAGATTATTGCTTTGATGGAAACTCACACGAGTGGTAAAAGAGCTAATAGTATTATTAACAACATGTGGTACAATAACTATTTTAGAATTAAAGCACAGGGGTTAGCGGTGGTATCTGGGTGCTTTGGGATAACTCAGTAGAAGTGAAGCTTTTAACCGTCTCTAATCAGTATGTTCATACTCTTTTCAGAGGGCTCAACAATAACGATTGGAACTATTTTACAGCTGTTTATGCTAGCCCCAACCCTAATGTTCGATGTAAATTGTGGGATTTTCTGGATAATATCAAGCCTAGCAATGATGAACCCTGGATTCTAGGAGGGGATTTCAATTGCATTATTAGACCTGAAGAGAGAATTGGTGGCAGTATTCAGTACAGAGGTGGGAGTAAGCATTTTCAGGATTTTATATTTAACAATGAATTGCTTGAGGTTAGTTACCAAGGGGATGACTTTACTTGACGTCGAGGTAATCTTTGGTAACATCTCGATAGGTGCATTACAAATTTGAAGTGGATTGAGCTCTACCCTGCCACTATTGTTCATCATCTTGAAAGACTTGGGTCTGACCACTGTCCCATTCTCCTTCAGACTATGAATAAACTCAATGGGAATATTAATAGGCCTTTTAGATTTTTGGCTGCTTGGATGGATCATCCTAAATTTGGGAATTTTCTTAAAGATGAACGGGTTAAGCAAGACGGTCTTATAGACAACCTCATTCAATTTAAGCATAGTATTAAAATTTGGAATATTGAGGTTTTTGGTAGCATCAATCAAAAGAAGAAAAAAATTATTGCTAGACTGAAAGGTATTGACAAAGCTCTTCGCAGATATAGTTCTACCAAATTGACAGCCCTCGAGTCAGAACTCAAAACTGAACTTGACACTATTTTGAGACAGGAATAATTACTTTGGGCTCAAAGGGCTAGATGTAAATGGATTAACCACGGAGACAAGAACACTAAGTATTTTCACTCATGTGCGATCACCAAAGGTAAGAGAAAGTTGATTACAACCCTCAAAACGGATTCTGACACTTGGTGTAAGGATCAAGATATGCTCAAAAATCATGTCAAGGACTATTATGAGAAGTTGTTCACTAGTGACCCTTTTATCATACATTCTTTTGATAACAATAAGCCTTTTCCTAACTTAACTCGGGATCATTGGAATTGGCTTGATAGATCGTTTGAGAACAATGAGATCAAAGAAGCCCTTTTCAGTATGGGTCCTCTCAAAGCGCCCGTAATTGATGGATTCCATGCAAATTTCTTTCAAAAGAATTGTGATATATTTAGAGAAAAAGTTTGTTCTCTTATCAAGAAGTGCCTTAATGGTGGTCAGATTGAGGAAGCCTTAAATATAACTAGTCTTGTTTTACTCCCTAAGGTGCCTAAGCCTGATAGAATAAACCAGTTTAGACCTATAAGTTTTTGCCAAGTGATCTATAAAATAATTACTAAAGTTATTGCCAACCGTCTTAAGCCTATTCTCCCTACTATGATTTCCAACATTCAAACTAGTTTTATCCCGGGCAGGGTTATTACTGACAATATTATCCTTGCTCAAGAAGTGATCCATTCGATGAAGAAGAAGAAAGGTGGAATATGGTGGTTGGCCATCAAACTAGACCTTGAAAAAGCTTATGACATATTAGAGTGGCCTTTTATTAAAGATAGCATCGAAAGGATGGGGCTGCCAAATAAAATTATTGTGGCAATTATGAAATGTATTACTTCCAGTACTATTCAAATTAATTGGAATGGGGAACTTATTGAACCCTTTCAGCCTTCCAGGGAATTAGACAGGGAGACCCTCTTTCACCTTATCTCTTTATCATCTGCATGGAAAGATTAGCTCAAGAGATTGCTTTAATAGTAAATCAAGGGAGGTGGAAACTTATTAAATTATCTAGAAATGGACCTGACATATCTCACATTTTTTTTGCAGATTACCTCATATTATTTGCAGAAGCAAACAACACTTAAATTGGAATTATCCAGAACACACTCAACAAATTCTGCAATAGCTCGAGACAAAAAGTTAGCATCGAGAAATCTAATATATACTACTCCAAAAATGTCAATGCCCATACCAGAACCATTATTTCAAATTTGATTGACATCAAGGAGATTGAGAACCTTGGAAATTACCTGGGAGTTTCCCTGCTGCACAACAGAATTAATAAACGAACTTACAACATCACCCAAAGAGTGAAGGACAAATTGACAGGGTGGAAAGCTAAATCTCTATCACTAGCTGGAAGAATCATTCTTGCCAAGGTTGTCCTCAACTCGATCCCTGCATACACCATGCAATCAATTTTAATCCCCAAAGGAACTTGCAATAAGCTTGAAAGACTTACAAGATATTTCATTTGGGGAAACTTGAATGAGCAAAAGGGAGTACACCTTGTGAACTGGGACAAATTTTGTAAACCTATTAAAGGAGGGTGTCAAGGATTAAAAAACCTTAGATTCCAAAATGAGGCTTTCATCTTTAAAATAGCTTACAAACTTACTAATCGAACTGGTCTGTTATGGGTGCAGGTAATGAGAAGCAAATACAAAATGAAAGAAATTCTACCTGAAGAGCTTAAAAAAGAGGATGATCACCTTTATGGAATCACATATGCTCCTTGTGGACTAAATTCAAGCAGAACATTTGTTGAAATATTGGAAATGGTAATCATATTAGCTTCTGGCATGACATATGGCTTGATCATAATGGCCCTCTGTCCAGATTCTGCAACCAACCGTTAGAGGTGGAAAAGGACAAGTCAAAAGTAAAGGAATTGATTAACCAAAATGGTAACTGGGATTGGAACAAACTTACGTTGCTGCTGCAGTCTCAAGCCATTAATATGCTAAAAGCCATTCCCCCTCCAGTGGATGAGAACATTAAAGACTCCCTGGGATGGATTCCCTCAGAGAATAGGGTATTCGCAGTCAAATCTGCATATAAATGGATTGCAAATATTAATAATGATATGGAAGATAAGATTTGGGGCATCATAGCAAAGCACAAAAACATTCCCAGAGTCAAAATTTTCCTATGGCTAATTAGAAGAAATAGTATTCTGACTAACTCGGAAAGAGCTCAAAGTCATATGACTAAGGATGCAAGTTGCTCTATGTGCAATTATGAAGTTGAAGATATTAATCATGTGCTGAGGTACTACCCTAATTCAATGGCAATATGGACTGACCTGATCAACCCCCAAAAGATAGACAGGTTTCTGAACTGCAGACTCAAGGACTGGATCATTGAAAACCTTGAAGAAACTCAGTCACCGTTGTCAAGAATCGCGGAGTGGCCAAGTTTTTTCAGCTCAGTAATCTAGTACATATGGAAGAGAAGAAATCAAATGATTTTCGATCCTGAGATGATTGAAAGGGATTCAATTATTCAGCAAGCTAGTAGACTGACCCAAGATTTGCAGAATTTTGAAACTACTGATGCTGGAAGTATACAGATCAGAGATAATGCTCGATGCAAATAGCAAAAACCAACAATCAATTACTGCAAAATAAACACAGATGGAACCAAAAGACATATCAATGGAGAAGCTATGTGCGGGGTTGTTGCAAGGGACTACAATGGTAATTGACGGTGGGGTTTTGGGAAAAAGATAGGGATCTGTTCTATTTTAGAAGCAGAGTTATGGGGAATCCATGAGGGATTACGAATCGCTTGGTTGAGGGGAGAAAGAAGCGTGATTTTAGAAACAGACAACAGTGAAGCTATCAATCTAATAAAGAATAGATCGAGCACACACAGGAAATTTACCATTCTGCAACACATTAAGAAAATGCTTAAGAAGAACTGGCTTGTAGAACTGCATCACGTACCTAGAGAGGCCAATCGAGTCGCCGATTTCATCGCCAAGCAGATGTGAAAACACTATGAAGATTCCAATTTTCTAGAAGAATGCCCTAAAGAAGCCGAGGATATGCTGCTAGTGGATAAAACGGGAAGCTAGACGGGCCATGTACCTTTTTTCAACTAAAAAAACACCTAAAAATATATTAAACCTAAAAATAATAGTATGGAAAATAGTATGAAAAACGATCTTCTACGTAAATCTGTTTGTTTGAATAAAATTAATTGTAATAAAATATAAATTGTCGGATAGATAAATTGTTTAAATAAAATTACTTGTAATAAGCTAAATTGACGTTTAGCCTAAATGAAACGTGTACGGCATCGAGCAACGTGGGATTAAATTTACATTAAACAAAGATTGATTGCAAAACGATATATGGTTACAAGTCAACTTATAAGATAACATATTCATAAATTTCAAAAACAGTTAAAGGTTCATCCAGAAGTATTTAAAAACTAAATTAAAACTATTATAATATTTTCTAATTTTTAATTACTTAAAAATATCATTTAATAAATTTTAGTATGTGTAAATGAAGACCTAAGGACTCGTCAATATATAATACGATAGCACACGAATTTCATTATTAATATATAGAATAAAAAATATTTATTTTAACATTTAAACACGATAATTAATCTAATCAAAATATAATTTTTTATTAAATCAATCTATCTGATTGTAAATTATAGTACATTGAGCACATATATTTATTTATTTATTTTGTAGGTGTTCTCGAAATTTCCAAATATATGTATATGATAGTTATCAAATATTATAGGTAAAAGAATGGCACAAACGTGTATGTGATATTATGGACACAACTTCACACGTCATGGAATCCATGTTACAAATTATTATGTTTTCATGGTCACATCTTTTAATTAAGTTATTATTATTATATATCTATTATTTTTTTAATAGTTTAGAGTAATTATAAGGTAAAACATATTCATAATATTTCTTAATAATTGACATCGTATAAATATCATACAGATGTTAGCGGGTGTTCATTCGGTTAATTCATTCATCGATCGAACCGAATAACCATTAATTGAATTAACCGATTTGTTCTTTAACCGTTAATCGAACCGAAATTTTTAAAAATATTTTAAATGAATCGAACTAAGTCTGGTTAATTTCGTCAGCTAATTGAATTAATCAAAAATTATAAATAATATATACTATATATTAAATATTTAATATTTAATACGATCGTTAATTTAGTTAAAATCGAAGTTTAAACATCACTAAAGTTAACTAATATATAAATAATATATTAAATATTTAATAATTTTGGTTAATTCGGTTAATTAATCGATTTTGAACTGAATTAACCAGTAACTGAAATTTGCAAAAATCATCAACCGTTAACCGATCGAATCTAAAATTAACTGACTAATTAACCGGAAAAAAATTCGAGTAATTTTATTTTAATTGAATTGTAAACACCTCTAACAAATGTATTTATTCAAATACAAAACTTCAAGTAAAACAATACTTCATTTAACTGTTAAAATCACTCCATCTATTGATTATATATCTATTTCTCACTAAATATGACCACTTTCATTCTTATTTATCTTAGTGAGATGATGTTAGTTAAATTAAATTTTAGATAGAGCATACGTTAACAAATTTACCAGATATACCAAATAGGACTTTACATATAATAGTTGTACAAATGTCCATATTTCCACGTCATCCTTCACTGTTGTTTCAATTTAGTTGAGGGAAGAGATACGTGGGCTATAACATTTAAAGAGGCGGCCAGCACCATACTTGTTAATAAATAATCTTAATAGAAATATATATATTAACAAACAATAATAATAATTTATTGGATATATATATATAATATTTTTATTGAATAAATGGAGAGATATACAATAAAATTATGATCTTAAAGAATAAGAGTTTATAAAATTAAAATAAATTAATTACACCAACGTGTTATTTTTTTAAAATCATCATCAAATATAAATTAATTATTAAATAATATAATATGATCAATAAAAAATAAATCAAACAAGTCAAAAAATACAAACAAAAAATATTATCGATAGTAACAAATAAACACCATCTAGAAAATATATATATAACAACGATAACTTGTTAACAAACTGAATTTATCACAACTCAAACGTAACCTATCAAAATGATTGTGAGCATTTATGAATATAAGAGAATTAATTGATGGATCTAAAATAAGTGTAAATTAATAAAATAATCAAATAAACTCAAATTAAGGAGACAACCATGGTTTTTAGAACCGGACCAGTTAGCGAATCGGACATGCTATTGATTCACTGGTTCAATCGGTCGAACCGGTCCGAAGAACCGGACGACGACATAATTATTTAAAAAATTAAATAAAAATACCAAAAATATTTAATAAAAAATACTTTTTTATATCACAAATCATATTCAAAGCAAGTAATAACATATTTAAGTTAAAAACCATAAAATCAAATGAAACAAAATGATTCAAATTAACTACAACATAATATTTAAGGTAAAACATATTAAATAATAAATATAATTATATACCTATAATTAAAAAATAAATTTGGGGCTAAAAAAATCATAACAAAATGATATTGTTTGGTTTAATTTTTTTTTTAAAAAACAATCCCACATGGTTAAGAAACATATAAGAGCATCCCAAAAGTCTAAAGAGTAAAAATATAAGAACAAAACAATCCCACATGACTAAGAAACATAGAAGAGCGTCCCAACTAACTTCTATAAATAATAGAGGTAATTTGACATTCAAATTTATGGAGCCTTTTGGTGAGCATTGAGTGAACTATTCTTTCACTACAAACAAGCTCGAATTTTAGGCTTCAATTGAGCTTCTAAATTTTTTTTGAGTTCAAGCCTTTTTTAGTTCAAGTTTCAATATTATATTTCGAGTTCGGGTTGAACTTGATAATTTTTAGCTTGTGAGTTTGAGTCGAGTTGAGCTTACTTTTAAAGTTTTCAAGTTCGAGTCGAGCTCAACAATACTCGAGTTCGAC